CGTGTTCCTGGGCCATGAGTGACTTTCCTATGTAGACACATGTTCTCAGACCCATAAGTGACCTTGCTATGTGTTCCTGGGCCCATGAGTGGCCTTCCTATGTGGACATGTGTTCCTGGGCCATGAGTGACTTTCCTATGTGTTCCCAGGACCATGAGTGACTGTCCTGTGTGGACATGTGTTCCTGGGCCCTCCTGTCCGGCTGGTCCAGAGCAGAGTCCCAAGTCACCAGGCCCAACCAAGGCCTGCAAAACCCTGCCAAGTCTCACCCCAGCCAGGCCAGGGAGGGGAGGGCCAGGGTGTCCCCAGCCATGTCCGGGGAGGGGGTGGGAAGAGGGAAGGGGTTGGTGTGTCCAGGCTAGGCTTAAGGAGTGGGGAGCCATGTGTCCCTGGGCCAGACCAGGGCAGGGGCAGTGTGTGCATGTGCGTGTGCAGGTGGGCTGGGCTCTCACGGGCCGAGCATGCTGAGGTCTGCCCACAGGGGAATCCTAGACAGGGCCCTGCAACCGGGCCACGGCCTGCTTCAGGTCATCCACCACCAGGTCCACGTCAGCTTTGGTGGTGGCCCGCCCCACGCTGAGCCGGATCGCGTTCCTGGCCACGTCAGTGGGGATGCCGCAGCTCAGCAGCACTGGGGAAGGCCTGGAAGGCAGAGGGGGCCAGCTGGGGGTGGGGTGCAGCTCACTGTACCTCCCTTCCTTTGAGCACGCTGACGCTCAGAACTGCTGCCCCCAGTCCACCCACATGCCCGTGCCAGGCAGCACTCCACTCTGAAACGTTGGGGGGGTGGGCACCCTGCACCGGCACCTTCTGCCCAAAGGTCTCAGCCTCAACCAAAGATCTCCAGCCATCACCCCACACGACACCCCGCCCACCCACAGGCTAGGCGGCCTGCCTGCCGTGCCAGGTGGCTCTGAATGACTCCTGAGTCCAGTCCACTCCCATGTCCTCTCCTCCAAGCACCCCTCCCCACCTCATGGGACCAACCCCTGCCTCCCCAGGGGAGCGTACTAGCTGTGCACACATCACAGCAGGGAAGCTCTGGAATCCACATGGGACAGGTCTCCCATATCCCAGAGAAGCTGGTCTGGCCCATTGGGCTCCCCACTCTCCATGCCTAGGTGCCACTTCCTCCAGGAAGCCCTCCTTCTCCCGGTTCCCACGGGCAAAGATGCTGTGAACGGGTCCCTGTAGGCACTTACTGGTCCCCGAGGTCTGAGTGGCATGCGGCGCCCACGCTGGCCAGCAGCCTCCTGCACTGGGCAAGCACCAGGTGGCCTGAGAGGAGAAGGTGTCCTGCATGAGCCCTATGCCCCCACAGCCAGCGGCCTGCCCTGCCCTGGGGGCTCCAGGTCCGGCCCCTCCTCTCCCCGTGGAGCTCCAGGTGGGCGGGTGGGGGGTGTCTCTGAAAGAGCCACAGTGACCCCACCCCCACTCCACGTTATTCTCAGCAATTGTCTCCGAGGTGCCGGGAGATCATACCGAAATAGCACCTGTATTCTCACCAAGGCACCGAGGCCATGAGTTTGTGAAGCAGGAGGTGCTTCCTGCTTCTGCCACTAGAACCACGTGCACTGAATGAGTCCAGGTGGCTGGAGACAGAGCTGCCCCCGAGACGTGAGAGAGGCCGCCTGAAGGGACGCCCCTTCTGCAAGAGCATCCTGCCCAGGCTCTCTCCGTGGACAGCCCGACAAGGGCCCCCTGCCTCTGGCAACCTTGGAAGAGAAGGAGCGGGCCCGCCCTCATCCTTCGAGCCTCCAGACTCAGGACCACCGCTGGGTCCGCTCAGGGCTCGGGCCAGCCAGGGTGCAGCTGCATTGGGGGCGGAGCCAGCGATGGGGGAGCTGGCGGAGGGACAGGCGAGATCCCCTCCCTCGGCCAGCTTTCATGTCCCGACCTCCACCTCTGCCACCCTGTCACACGCTGACCCCTCCGGAGACCGCTCTCAGGCTGTCAGGCGGGCCACGTGCACTGCTGGGCATGCCGAGAGGGCGCGGGGACAGGGAGTGGGTGCTGCAGGGAGGGGGCCGGACAGACTTGCACCCCTCCCAAGAGAGACCACACCCACCCTCTGCTCTGCAGGGCACCCACCAGCGGCTGGGTGGGGCCAGCAGGCTGCGGAGAGCTGAGTGCTGCCCCATCACTAACCCTAATGAGCAAAGTCAGGGAGGAAATGATAGGGTGACAGCCAGAGCCCAGTGCTGGGCTAACCACCGGCCATCTCAGTGGCTGCCCACTAGGAGGTTGGCAGGGAGGGCTGGGCCGGGCAGCCACCTTGCAGCCGGGGTCCAAGGATGGAGACATTGCAGGTGTTGGACAATCGCTCGGTCCCTGGGAATTGGCTGTTGAAATGGATCCTCTTCTTGCCAAATGCTGCCTGGGAAAGTAAGCAAAGAGTTCAGGGCAGCGTCACCCCCACCCCACACACAGATACACACATGCATATACACAGACACATTCACACACAGACACCCCCACATGCCCCCACATACAGATACACACATGCATATATATGCAGATGCACGCATGCATACACACATAATACTCATACACAGACATGTACATATACACCACACACACATATATACACATCCACATACACACATACACAGATACACACATACATACACACACATTCACACAGGCACCCCCACATACAGATACACACATACACAGATACTCACACGCATACATATACACACAGATATACACACATAATACTCATACACAGACACATACTCCCACATACAGATATACACAGACACACACATACATACACACACATATACACAGCAACACATACACACAGTCACAGACACACATACCAACCACACACCACACACATACATACATACTCACACACAGACACACCACACACACACACAGATGTTGAACTTTGACCTTTTATGGGGAACAAAACGTCAACTTCGAAAGAAACCGCTTGCTGACAAGCAGCCCTGGTGGCACAGGGGGTCAGCTGCTCATCAGAAGGCCAGCGGTTCAAAGCCACCAGCAGAGTCATGGCAGAAAGAGGAGGCTGTCTGCTCCCATCAGGAGCTCTGCCCTGCCCTCGGGAGTCGCTGCGAGCTGGCTGGGCGACAGGAGGTGTTTCTCCTCAGCTCGGCCAGGACACTTGCACCTCTCAGCTGCCTGCCTCCTCTCTGTGGACTCTAGGTCAGGCTCCCCTTCCTCCCACCCGCCGTGGCCCCCGGGTCCAACTATGTCCCCTCCCGTCACTTGGGCTTACCTGTAGCCTGTCCTCCAGGTAGTCTCGGACCTCCCTCATGTGGGCCTCGTACGTCTCCCAGTTCTGGCTCACTAGCTCAGCGGCCTGGGGACACACAGACTTAGGCTCAGCATGCCCCACCCCCACCCCAAGAGGTGCAGCAGGTGGGGGAGGGGAGACACCAGTGCGCCCAGGTGAGGGCCATCGACAGGGAGGAGCATGCTTCTTGCCATAGCAGCCGCTGCCAGGGCTGATGAAGTGAGAGGCGAGAGGTGGCACGTGACAGGCACGGTGACAGTGGCCCAATGGACATAGGTCACCCCGTGGAGGTTAGGGGCAGTTCTTCAGAGACCTAGCTGGGGCTTGGCTAAGGCTGGCATCCTCAGGGAAGATTCCAGAGAGGAGAGGGGGTTGGGGGCTTGTGGAGCTCCAGGCACTGGACCCGGGCCTCCCCTGTGGGCAGAGACCTGGGCATCTCAGCTGGCGGAGGTGGGGGCATGGTGGGCGGGGTGTGTGAGCAAGGCCAGAAGGCCGGGCTGTGGGTGACCCAGAGAGAGTGGACAGGGTCTGGGGGCCGGGGCAGAGGAGATGCAGCGCCTCCGTTTGAAAAGCAAAGCCCGTGGTGACCTGTGACTTGGAAACGCAAGGCCGGCAGGCCAGAGTAACGGTGTCAGCGTGCTTCGCGGCCCTCCACCAAGTCCCTGGGAGGGCAGGAGGCTGGTGCTGGATGGGGAACCTATAGGTTGGCCGGGGCCCAGCCTACCGGGCAGAACCACGGATGCATGGGGCTGGTGCTCAGCTTCCCTAAGGAGCCCAGCCTGGGCCGCTCCCTGGGTGGCTGCACTCTGCCAGGCGGGCTCACCAGGAGTCAGGGTGACTGCCCGGGTGGCTGTTGGAGCCTCTGATGTATCCGGCCATGGATGGAGCTCTTCCAGGTTACCAGGAGCAACGAAAGGAGGGGCTTGACCTCTGACCTTCCCTATCTGCTCTGGGAGATTGGGGGACAGGCAGGCTCACCTTCCCGAGGCCCGCAATCATCAGCGTGTTCTCGGTCCTACAAGAGACAAGGGTTAGTCCTGTTCCAGGTCCAGGCCAGGCAGACCCACAGGGCAGGGGGCTGCAGCTGGCAAGGGTCCCAGGAAGGGGTCTTGTTGACAGGAGAACCTCTCACCGGCTTCTTACTAAACCGTGTCCTGCCAGGTCACAACCTCCACGCAGGGCGGTCACAGGCCTGGCCTGGAGTGAAAGGGCCGTGCAAGGTGTCCAGAGTGGGCCCTTCCGGGTGGGTCCCTCTCCCGAGGCATGGTGACGCCACAAACAACAAAAGAGGCCCCGCGCCGTCCTGTCCCAGCCTCAGCATCATGGCTTCATTTGGGCCCCTGGCTGCAGCCACTGTCCGTCCACCCATCTCACCTTCCTCTCTGTCGCCAAACGACTTGAACCGAAGCCTGCCCATCGTCCCCTGAGGGCACAGGCTGCACTCTCGCTGGGCCGTCTGTGGCGTGGTCAGGGTTCCACGGTTCTACTCTTCACGGCCCAGGCCAGGCGCACCTCGCTCTCAAAGGGACACTTGTGGTTTCGAACATGAAGAAAGAGGTCAGATTTTCCCAGCGTGGGAGGGCGTCTGGTTTCTTGACGGCTGCTGCCATGGTACTGCCTGTGGAGCCAAGGAAATCGAAGTCCTTGGCACCTTCAGTCTTCTCTCCGCTGGTCACGGTGTTACCTGGAAGCCCAGGTGTGAGGACTGCTGTCTTCTGTGCGCTGCGCTGCCACCCAGACTGAAGGCTGTGTCCACGTCTGCCATCACCAGGGCGCCGCGTCTTCCTCCTTTTCGGCAGGTATGGTGGCATCTGCACCCCGCAGGCTGTTCGCTGGCCTTCCTCCGATCTGGTGCCACGCTCTTCTTCACAACCTTGGATCACGTCCTCAGCAAGCAGACTGGATCAAGGAGGCAAAGGACACAGCAGCCCTGCCTCACACCTGTCCCGATTCTAAACGACGGCGTTCCCTGGATCTGTCCCAACGGCGGCCTTTGGGCCCCTGCACAGGTTCCGCATAAGCACGGTGAAGTAGCCTGGAATTCCTATTCTTCTACCGTCCACACACTTAGCTACCTGGAGTTGTCCACTAACCATTGGTTAATCACCCATTTACAATGGCCTCAGACGAGCTCATTCACACATGCTGTTGCCTTCACGTAAAGCTTCTTTGTGGTGAGATGGGAGGAGCCCTTTGTTATATGGACTTCTGGTGCCAGCCAGGAAGAGGTGTGTGTGCGTGTGTGCATGTGGTTATATGTGTGTGTATTTGGTGTGTACGAGGGGGCTTCAAAACTGTGGGGGAAATGTCATGTTCATGAATGTTTGAAGCCTCTTTGTGTGTGCGTGTGTCATCGGTGTGTTTGCATGGTTTGTGTGTGTGGTGCTTACAGGTTATATGTGCATATGATGCTGTGTGTGGCATGACCCTGCGTCAGTGGTGTGTGTGTGCATATACATGTATAAATATATATGTGTGTGTGGTACGATGTGGGGTATGTGGGGTATGTGTATGTGTATGAGTTTATGTGGGTATGTGGGGTATGTGTATGTGTATGAGTTTATGTGGGTATGTGGGCCTGTTGCTTGTGAGGGGTGTGTGTGTACGCACGTGTGTGTCTATATATGTGGGGGGTGTGTGTGCATGTATGTGGTATAATGAGTATACAGGTGGTGTGTGCATGTGGTATGGTGAGTATACAGGTGATGCATGCATGTGTGTTCATGTATGTGTGTGGGGGTATGTGTGTGCATGTGCAGGAGAGGGGACAAGAGGAGCCTTGGAGACCAGTGGCTCTCACACCTGAACACAACAAACTCAAAACCAAAATCCTTTGCTCCATTTCCAGAAAAATAAGACATTACCTGGAACAGATTTTCCTACTGTTTGTACAGTTTTAGCTGAACAAAGCCCTTACACCTCTGCAGGGCAGTGGAGGGGAGGGCGGAGCAGGACTGGGAGGCATCTCAGTCCACAGTACCCCGAGCCACTGAGTCTGATGGCTCGACGGCCCAGCGACAACCACATCAAAGCTCTGGAACTGGATCCTGCTAGCTGAGCGGCAGATAACAAGATAAATGGATGTGCAGCGTGCGATAGTGACAGAGGACCTGCCCGCGCTGGCCCCACTGACCATGTCTGACCGGCCAGCTGCATTCCCTGGGGATGGCTGCTCAGGCGGCCTGCTGGGCAGGACTGGGCTGCAGACAAGCAGGCCAGGATGTTGTCCGCCACCTGGATGCCTCCTGGCTGCAGCCCAGTCCTGCCCCAGGCTCAGGGTCCTCATTGGAAGGACAGCAAGGTCAGACCAGAGACCTGGGACCATCACGAAAGGGCTGTGGTCTGCGCTGTCCTGGGGGACCCCCAGGTGGACCAGCCGGGAGTGAAGCTACAGGCCCGTCCCATTTCCCATCCTTCTGGCAGCTGCCCTCTCAGTGCCTCTCACTGCCCTAGGCTGCTTCTTAAGGTTTCTGGAATGGCTGAATTTTGAGACAGCTTTCTTATTGTTTTAGATTTTGAGGTATCTACTGACTTGCTTGCAGCAGTTAGAAAGATCCTGGGGATCCAGTTCTGACAGGGACAGACAGCCTCATCACTCCTCTCCCTCAGGACAGCCAGGGATCTGAACTGTCACCACCATAGTGCCCCCCACCCCGCCCCCCGGCCCAGCCCCATCTAGACGCCGCGAATGAGCGCTTGCTTCTGTTTCTGCCGCTTCGTCATCTCGAGGCTGGTGTTCTCACCAAGCCCCACAGGATGGGAGAGCCGGGCAAGGACTTCACCCACAGCATGCTTCTCTGGAGATTCGCCGTCTGCTTCACTGCGAGCGGGGAGTCTGCGATGGGGTGCCGGGCTTGTTCAGCCTGCGCTCCTTGGAGGACATGTGCGGCAGACGAGGGAGGACTCGGGGGCCTTCACCCTCTGCGAGCAGTCCGGGGAGGGAGCTTCCTGGGTTGTGTGGTGCTTACGGGTCTGGTTCTTAAAGAAACTGTCAAATGGTTGCTTCTGGAGTGGCTGGTGGCGGCAGTCAAGAAGTCACCGGGAGGTGGCATTAGGCCAGTGGGCCAACAAAGTTGTTCTTGGAAGGGTGAGGAATCCAAGATGTCACTTGGAGGACCCAAGCCAGGGTGTTTTCAGTAGCCTGCCCTGTGTGTGGGAGCGGTTTGGGAAGACCAAACCAACGGGTGCCTTTGGCGAGGTGCTGGTGAAGGAGACCGAAAGCGCCCGGAGAACAGACAACTCTGTCTCGGGGAAGGGCAGCCAGAGCGCTTCTCGGAAGCCAGGGCAGGCAGCGTCGTCTCGTGCACTCACCGGAGGGCACCCTGCGTGGTAAAGCGGAGTCGCCGTGGAAAAGAGGAAGACGCTCACGGAGACAGACGGATACAGTGCTACTGCAGCCACGGGCTCAGCCGTGGCAAAAGTGGAGGATGGCACAGGCCCGGCCCTTGCTCCGCTCTGCTGGGCATGGGGTCGCTGTGGGTCAGAGACAGCCCAGGCGCAGTTGACAAGCACATCTGGGGTTGCATTTTAAACCTCAGTGCCCGCACACCCGTGGCTGATGTACACAGATGCGACCGCCTTCTGTGTCTGCTCTTCTTCGTAGCCTGCAACCTGGAGAACTCACTTGCTGGACTGTCGAGGCTTTTGTAAACGTCTGAGGGAATTTTCTCGGTAGACAATCCTGTGATCTGCAGACGGGAATAGTTTGACCTCTTCTTTTGCAATTTCTAGAGGCTTCCTTTGCTTTCCCTGCCTCACGCGTGGACTATACTTTGTAGCATTCTGTTGTATGCCACGATTCACCAGCCATTGAGTGGGTGTGATGCTCGGCGACCCTCAGGACAGGGTAGAACTGCCCCTGTGCATTCCCGAGACTGTCAGTCTTTATGGGGGTAGTAAGCCTCTTCTTTCTCCTGCAGAGTGGCTGGAGCTTTTGAACTGCTGACCTTGCGGTTAGCAGCCCAGAGCATGCTCACTATGCCGCCAGGATACTCTGATGTCCAGGAATGATGAAAACTGATAACCGGGCCTCGTTCCAGACCACAAGGGTACAACGCCCGCACTCATCCTCAAGAACACAGCTGCTATCAGTTGCTGTAGAAAATGCTTTCCAAGTGGAAGCAGTGCTTCTAAACATTTTCATAGGGTTCACCCGTCATCTTCCTTTAAGCCACCACTAAGATGCAAGCATAGGCAACCGAGTGAGGTCGCTGTTGTCATGAGCCCCATTTTCAATGATGAGGGTGTGGAGCCCAGGAGGGTGGGCGACATGCCCAGCTTCTGCAGCTGCTCCAGGGCAGCGCCACAGCTGGCCTGGCTTGTGCGCTCACCACACTTGCTACCAGGGGTGAGTGGTTGTTTTGGAGCAGTGGGAAGAATGGGGGTTCCCTTCAGCTGCAGGGCTCCATCCCCAGCATCTGCTGGCCTTGTGAGGACCCCGGCGGGGACTGGCGTCCAGGGATCCCGCTCTGAGGAGCAACACTGTGGGCTCTGACTTCCCAGAGACCGTGGTGCCCCACTACAGACGAGTGGCAGGGCCTCGGGCTCAGGGACTGGGCTGGCTTCCGACCTTACCCTGGCCTGAAATTCCGCTCTTGCCCACCTCCAAACAGCATGGGGTACAGCGGGGTCCGTTCGCCAAGGCCTCGGACGTACAGCGCTCCGATCCTGGGGCCGTAGAACTGGAATGAGACGGCAGAGACACTGGTTCAGCGAGAACCTTCCGAGGCCCGGCTCTGCAAGCCCTGCCCAGAGTGTGGTGGCTGCCAGGCAGAGGGCAGGTGTCCGGGGGCCTCAGCAGAGCTAACCCTCACACCCTTGGAGACGGCAGAGAGGCCCGGCTGGGGCTGGCCTCGGGCTCCCTGCTCACTGGCTGACAGAGCGTCTCCACATGCCACCTGAGGGAATCTGGAGGAGGCGGTTGGCTCTAGAGCTGCCAAGGCACATGATTCCATCTTTTCAAATCCATCTACAATTGTAAGTCCCACGGCGCCATGCCACGCTCATATCCCTCTGGAGACGGGCCATGTCAAGACAGAACCCTCCAGCTACCCCCCTCCCCCCGTCCTAGCAGGCGGCCAGAGTGTGACGCAGCAGCTTCCTTCCTCCTAGCCCACAGCTGTTGAGACCACTGTGACTAGGGGACCCTGCAGGACAGGGCGAAAGCACCCCAGAGGGCCCCCGAGGCTGTAAGTCTTGGTGGAAGCAGACTGGCCACATCATCCTCGCGTAGAGAGGCTGGGGGGTCTAGGCTGACCCAGCGTGCCACGAGGGCTCCTCTCAAAAGCGTCACTGTTGTCATTAGAGGCCCCCCGTCAGTTTCCGCTCTCAGCAGCCCTACGAACAACAGAGCGCAGCTGCCCGGCCTGTGCTTCTTCACGATGCTCCCGTGCCTGAGCCCACGGGGCCGCCGGGCCGTCCCTCCCATCCGGGGCCTTCCTCTCCTTCGCTGCCCCCCACTTGACCGAACAGGGTGTCCTTCTCCAGGGACTGCTCTCTCCTGACCACACGTCCTAAGCCTAAGTACGTGCGACGGAGTCTCGCCATCCTTGTCTCTGGGGAGCACCCTGGCCATGCTGCTCCCAAACCAGCTGCTTGCTGCTGGCAGTCCGAGGGACTTGCCCTGTCCTTCACCAGCACGCCTGCTCAAGGACATCAATTCTTCCCCGTCTTCCCAAGTCAGTGGCCAACTGCCACACGCACAGGAGGTGACTGACAATACCAGGGCTTGGGTCAGGGCACCTTAATTTTCAACGTGACACCCTCACTCTTCAACACTTTGAAGAGGTCGTGTGCAGCAGACTGACCCAATGCCATGTGTCACGGCCATTGTTCCTGCGGACTCCACCTTGAAGAGTCTCTGAACCTGAACCTTTCCATCCAGGAAGCTTGGAACTTGGGAAGGGGAGGTCTGTGTGTGGTGGACGGGGTCTTTGCAAATGCTCCTTTCCCATGACCTGGCTGGACACCATGTGCCCTACCATCTCCCCTGGGCCTCGACGTCATCTGGAAGCTTTGTCTATCTGCCGCACCTTTGCTCCCTAGGGGAAGAGAGCTCATATGTCCCTGCCACAGCACTCAGCAAATGGCATCCTAGCTGTGTTGGTCTCCCCTTCTAGAAGCTTCTTGAAGGCAGAGACCGTGGAGGCACGAGGCCAGTGGGCGAGCATGTGGATGATGGGGTGGGGCAGCTCCAAGGAAGCTGGGAGTGAGTGTGGGCCTTCCCAGCTCAGGGGCTACCTTGTGGCCCACGATGGTGAGGAAGTCCACTCCCAGGTCCTCCACGTCCACACGCCTCTTGCCCAGTGCCTGCGCAGCGTCCGTGTGCAACAGGATGCGCGGCAGTCCGGAGGCCGCCCGCTGCGTGTTCAGGGCGTCGATGCGCTGGCTGATCTCGGGGACCCGCTGCAGCAGGAGAGACAGAGCCTTGAGTGTGTGGCTTTGGTCTGGTGAAGATCAGAGGAGAGAAGAAAGGAGGGCGGGCAGGAGAGGGTTAAATGCTGAAACACCGAGAAGCAGCAGCAGTTAGAACCCCCAAAGAGGAGAGGGAACCCAACAGAGGCCACGCTCCCCTCTGTCCCACGAGACTCTTCTTCAGAGGAAGGGACAAGGCTGATTTACCATGACGACGCCGGTCTCGTTGTTGGCTAGCATGATGGTCACGAGGCACGTGGTGGGCCGCACAGCCGCGAGGATATCGTCTACTTCTGCCTGCCCGCTTACTTTTGACACGGGGACCAAGGTGATTGCTGAGCAGAAAGCACAGGGACTCGAGTCAGGGACACGCACGGGCCTCGATGCACAGTGCATCCGGGCTTGCTTGGAAGAGCAGACCGCTCCCCTCCCCACCACCACTCCCTGTGAAAGTTCAGATAACCAGAGCGACGGGGTACAAGGCCACCCATGATCGCACCACCAGGAATAGTCACTCTGGGGCCCTGACGAAAAGCTGCTTTGGTCTCACTTGATAAGGCATGTCATGGAACACAGGTGGCACGCTCCTCCTCCTGGGGCCCTGGCTCAAAGCCGAAGGTGTTCCCACGAAGACCAGAAACAAGATAAGGATGGCCACGCTCACGACTTTGATCCAACAGTGGTGCTGCTGCTGCTGCTGTTCGGTGCCATCAAGGCGGTTCTGGCCCACAGCGACCCGGTCCTGCCCCAGCCTCACGATTGTTCCCACGCCTGAGCCCATTGTTGCAGCCGCGGGGTCTGTCCATCTCGTCCAGGGTCCTCCTCTCCCTCGCCGCCCTCGACTTTACCCAGCACGCTGTCCTTCGCCAGGGACCGGTCTCTGGTTTTGTTTTGCAGGGGAGGGGATGTCTTTGTCTAGTTTTAGAAGCCCTGGTGAGGTTGTGGTTATGTGTTGGACGGCTAACTTCAAGGTCAGGAGTTCAAATTCATCAACAACTTTTCGGGAGAAAGATGAGGCTTTATCAAGCATGATGTCCTTCTCCAGGGACTGGTCTCTCTTGACAATATGCCCAAAGTATGTAAGACGAAGTCTTGCCATCCCTGCCTCTAAGGAACACTCTGACATGGCTTCTTCCTAGACAAATCAGTTTGGGCTTTTAGCCACCCTTGGTACTTTCAATATTCCTCTTCAGCACCGCAATGCAAGTGCATCGGTGCTTTTTTGGTCTTCCTTATTCAGTGCCCAACTGTCACAGGCATAGGAGGCCAGTGAAAGCACCGTGGCTTGGGTCGGGCACACTTTAGCCCTCAAAGTCACATCCTTGCTTTTCCACACTCTACAGGGGTCTGGTGCAGCACATTGACCCACTGCAACACGTCTTCTGCTCTCTTGACTGCTGCTTCCATGAGCACTGACTGTGGAGCCAAGCAAGACCAAATTCTTTTTTTTTTCTTTTTTAAAATCATTTTATTGGGGACTCAGTCAACTCTTATCACAATCCATACATCCATCCATTGTGTCCAGCACATTTGTACATTTGTTGCCATCATCATTCTCAAAACACTTTCTTTCTACTTGAACCCTTGGTATCAGCTCCTTATTTTCCCTCCTCTCTCCCCACCCCCTCCATGAACCCTTGATAATTTATAAATTATTACTATTTTGTCACATTTACACTGTCCTATGTCTCCCTTCACCCACTTTTCTGTTGTCCGTTCCCCAGGGAGGGGTTATATGTAGATTCTTGCAATCGGTTCCCCCTTTCTACCCCACCTTCCCTCCAGCATCCTGGTGTGACCACCCTCACCACTGGTCTTGAGGGGTTTATTTGTCCTGGATGCCCTGTGTTTCGAGCTCTTATCTGTACCAGTGTACATCCTCTGGTCTAGCTGGATTTGTAAGGTAGAATTGGGGTCACGATAGTGGGGGGGAACATTAAAGAACTAGAGGAAAGTTGTATGTTTCATCAGTGCTACACTGCACCCTGACTGGCTCGTCTCCTCTGTATGACCCTTCTGAAAAGGAATGCAAGACCACATTCTTGACAGCTCCAACCTTTCTCCATTTATCATGATGCTGTCTTTTGGCCAGGAGCCCTGGTGGCGTGTGGTCATGAGTTGGGCAGTGATCCACAGGGTCAGCAGTTTGAAACCACCAGCTGCCCTGAAGGAGAGAGATAGGGCTTCTATTCCCGTAAAGCCATGGTTTTCAACCTTCCTCATGCTGCGACCCTTTCAAACAGTTCCTCATGTGGTGGTGACCCCCTAACCATAAAATTATTCTCGCTGCTACTTCATCACTGTCCTTTTGCTACTGCTATGAATCAGGCGACCCCTGTGAAAGTGTCGTTCGACCCCCAAAGGGGTCGCAACCCACAGGTTGAGAACCGCTGCCGTCAAGGGTCACGGGGGCAGCTTTCCCCTGTCTGGCAGGGTGGCTATGAGCTGGCATGCACTCCACGGCAGTGAGCACTGCTGGCCCAGTGATGAGGACTGGGTTTCCTGGCATTGAGCTGTGACCACCCTGAAGGTTCAGTCCTGGATCTTCATCAGCAAGTGCTCCGAGTCCTCCTCGCTTTCAGCCAGCAAGGGTGTGCCAGCTGTATAGCTCAGGCTGTTCATAAGCCTTCCTCCAATCCTGATGCCACACTCTTCTTCATATAATTCAGCTTGATTTTCTCAGCACACAGACTGAATAAGGATGGTGAGAGGCTGCAACCCTGATACACACCCTTCCTGATTTTAAACTATGCAATATTCCCCTGCTCTGTTCACAGACACACAACAACAACAACAAACTGCTTCTTGATCCATGACAAGTTCCCCAGGAGCACAGTGAAGCGCTGCCCTTCCTCTCCAGGCCATCGTAGTCTGTCAAGGTCCACACACAGTCGAATGCCTTGGCAGAGTCAACAAAGCATGAGCATTCTCTGCTTTGAGCCAAGATCCCTCTGACATCAGCAATGGTGTCCCTTGTCCCACGTCCTTTTCCGACTCCGGCCTGAACCTCTGGCAGCTCTCTGTCCATGTGCTGCTGCGACCACTGTTGGATGATCTTCAGCAACATTTGACTTGCATGTGCTCCCGAGGATATCGTTCTCTAGTTTGAGCGTTCTGTTGGGTCATCTTTCTCGGGCACAAATATGGATCTCCCAGTCCGTTGGCCAAGCAGCTGCCTTCCACATTTCCTGGCACAGACGACTGAGTGCTTCTCAGCGGTGACACCTTTTGTTGGTGTCTGTCCATTCCTGGAGCCTCGCTTTTGGTTCATGCTTCCAGTGCAGTTGAACGTCTGCCTGCTGCGCCACTGGTTCTTGCTCACAGGTTCCCCCAGGAGGTTCTAGCTTGGGCAGCTGAGCAGGAAAATAAGATAATGACGACCAGACGGGAAAGTAAAATTCTTATTTGCAGATCACATCATCTTTCATAACAAAAATCCCAAGAAACACACTCAAAACCTCCTAGAACTAATAAATGACCTAAGTCAGGCTGCACAGTGCAAGACTAATATAAAAAAGGTAATTCCATTTCTATACACACATTGAACCAAAAGTGAAAGTTCACTTGTAATAGCATTTCTAAGAATAAAATACTTAAAAGTAAATCTAATATAAATATGAAACTTCTACTCAGAACTCTAAGTTGTTGGAGAAAAATGTTAAAGTCCTAAATGAATGGAAAGGTATTCTATGTTCATGAATGGAAAGACATAATACTGATTTATTAATGACTCCCCAAAATGATTTCTAAATTCCATACAATCTCCATCAAACTGTTGTTTTTCTTTTCTTCCTTTCTTTCCTACAGAAATTGACAAGCATATCCTAAAATTCATAACAAGGGAGCCAGAATAGCCGAAACCTTCCTGAAAAGCAGAGCAATTCTGGAGAGCTCACAAAGTCCTGATTTCCACCGCAGTTCAAAGATACAGGGCTGGTCCCAGGCAGACAGGTCAGAGGACCGGAGGCACCCGTCTACAGCTGAGCATTCAGCTTTATGGTCAATAGATTCTTGAGGTGTCTACAATGTAATTCCATAGGAAAGAAGAGCCTTTTCAGCCAAGGGTTCAGAGATAACGGGGTACCCACATGCAAAAAATGACAGTCGGCCCTCAGTCACCTCCAGTATGGGACTGAGCTCACACTTCACTCCAGTCAGCCCTTTATGATCACAAGGGCAGTATTCCCCCAAGGACCCAGTTCAGAGCGTTAGGGTCGAAAGAGGACTGGAAACAGGAAGTGCAGAGAGGAAGGGGCACGTGCTGGAACCGTGAGGATGAGCTGAGGGAGAGTGTGTGCACCTTGTTCAATGTACAGCGGATGGCATGCTCTGTGAGCCTTCACCGAGACCACAGTTAATGGTCAGAGGTAAAAAAGAATAAAGCCATATCTTACAACATATACCAAGAAACAGACCTTAAATCATACACAAGAATTAACTGAAAATGGATCAAAGCTGTGAACCAAGGCGCTGGGCAGGAGAGAAGGGTGAACACTAAGGTAGCGAGCAGACAGGTGCCACCGTCCCCTAACTCAAATAAACGTTTAAAATAAATAAACAAACTGCATCTCACTTAGGAAGGCGCCCTGGTGGCACAGAGGCTACATGTTGGGCTGCGATCCAGATGGTGGTGGGTTCAAACGGCCACATTTGCAGACCCAATGCAGAACCACTATCCCTCCAGGGCGCCTAGATTCCTGGTTATCGCAGACTTGCCAATACAGCTGTCTCATGTTGGTGATGCCCTGCAGACGGCTTCTCTGGAAAAGCACAGTGCTTGTTGCCTTTGTGTACCTCGATTTGAGTCACCCCTGGAGCTGAATTAGCTTCCCAATCAACCCAAAGTCTGCTTGCCAGTCTTCACCACACATGAGTGTTACTGCGGCTCCAAAGAAGCTACTGACCCTGCAGTAGTGGGTTCTGACTGAGCTGACTGTTCAAAATCGCTCTTTGGATTTTCATTGTCATAGTAACAATCACTTGGCTTGGATAAGCTCAATCAAGGTCACTTCGTAAAAATAGAAAAGAACAAAGTGAAAAGATCCCCCACAAAGCTGGAGAAAGCATTTGCGAGTCACCGCTCTGCTCCGGGACTTGTGCCTAGAAGACATAAGGGCTCGTTGAGCCCACTAGTAAAAAGGCGAATGGTTTGACTGAAAAATGAGCACAGGGTCTGAATAGACAGTTCCCCAAAGAAAATGTGTCACGGCCAATGACCAGAGCAAACTCATTCCCATCGTAGGTGGTCCCAGGAGCTGCAGGGCGACAGAAGGTCTTCATAGCTGGGATCATGTCTACACACGCACATCTTAGACCTCCCTTATCCAGCATTAGA